GATAACATCTGGTTCATCAATGATGAAGAATTTTTTAGTATATTTAGTATTTCTTTGAAGTCAATAGCATCTAATATATCTTTTTCTATTGACATAAGCATGAATGCTTCAAGATGGTCTTGATTTAATGAAGAGCGTAAACGATTTTTAATTATTTTAAGCTTACTGAATGCTCTTTCACAATTAACCTGTGTAACAGAGAGTGTTAAAACAAATTCAACTGCAGCATACAAATTACAATATGCAGGTGAATGCATATTTAATTGGTATATTAATTTTTGTAGACATATTAAGCATGATTTTGTATTATGATTATTATTGGAAGTTTTTGATTTTTCACACCCTATAAAAAAAGACAAACATATTTTTTACTAAACATATATAACTAAAATATAAAAACAGTATATATTGATATATTTTACCTTTAACTTCTAAATTCATTTCATCATTTTTATCCCAGTCTAGAAAAAATTCTTCATTATCTTGAAACATATCATCATCATCATCATTATACATTTTTGAAGTATTTGAATTCAGAGGCTTTGCAATGTTGTCATATATTTTTGAGAAATGGTTCAATTCAGACACTAATTTCTGATGGTTTATTGATGATAATTTTGATAAAATTTTTAATGCTGATTCTGGTAGACTGTTATCCTTTGCATATTGAAAATTTTTTGGTAATAAATACTGAATATCTGCTATAATTTCTCTATTGCTTGAAAATCTTTGAATAAAACTGCTTCTCAATTGATCAATAGTGCATTGAAAAACTTCTACTCTAAACTTATTAATAGGATTTATAATATGTTCATCTGAACACATTTCATCATAATTGCGCTTCTTATGTCTAGAACGTATTAATGGTAATTTATCTTCCACAACTATACTATCATTCAATTCAAAATTTGTAAATTTATCATTCATATTTTGTGAGAATTTCTCTGCTTCAACGACAATTGTATCAAAATTTATTTTTCCAATTTCATCAATTGTATTTTCTACCATTAACCAACCAGCCAAAAGATCTAAATTACTGGACTGCAAATATGATGATGTTGGTCCGGCTGAATCAAAAACTTTAATAAATAAATGGGCTGTTAAAATAACTTGGAATTCACACAATTTATTTTTTAATGAAGTTGCTTCATATATGGATTTTTGATCAAATTTTTTTGACGAACAAATAAAATCTAAAGCACTGACAATAGTTGGGTATAAGCAATCATAATGTCAACCATTTTCGCAAAATGGGTTTACCTCTCTGATCTTCTCTATTATAAAGTTTGAAAAGAGACCATGAAACATTATGCAGTACAGTTGGTTGACAAGGATGTTGTTTCATAAAATCCATTTTTTGATTAATAGAACTTTTTTTGGGAATCACAAATGAATATATTTTTTCTGCAGCAATATGTTCCTCAACCTCAGGTAACGAAAACGAACAGGATACACTACTTTGCTCGGTTTGATTTTTAGCAGTTGAATACATCTAATTTATACACAACATAATAAGTATAAGGTAGATCTTACCGAACAAGATTACAAGAATACCTATCTAGTAATATATCATTAAAAAAAGTTTACTCACCGAAGGATTGTTTTCTACAGTTTTAACTGAGCAACTTTGTTGTTTTTGTTGTGTTGAACAATCATCTAAATATTTAGAATACAAATAATATTAAAAAGTAATCACATATTTACATACCAATTATATTGAAAGAAAAATGAATCCAGTTAACCCGTTAAACATTTTAATTTACAGATTAGTAAATATAGATTATTAGATATTATTTAATCTGCAATTCAATTAAATATTATATTTAAATATTATTAATTCAATATTAAAATCTTTGATGTTATGTATAACAAACGTAATTAATGAATCAGTACCTTGAAATAAGAATCTATAGTATACTAAATTCTTTATACTTACCTACGAATACTTTGTTAGAGCGATCCAATCCAAATTCAATTTTTTTTTGTTTTGGGTCATTGGCAACAGCTTTGACATTGATCATTTTTTTTAAACGAAGCTTTTCAGCTCCACCTTTTAGTTTTTTTTTCATCATTTTATGTTTTAAATTATAGCAATGCGATGTGCGAGTACACGACGCAATCAAAATTATGGGAATAAGAAATCAATTCGTATTGTGCATTCATACTATCATAGTGATAGTGTCTACTGTCTAGGC